TACCGGTTTATGGTCGGTGGAGAAGGTGTGTAGCCTAGTGAGTTAAACTAAACACACGAAAGACTAACATATGACGTACATTCACATAAGGACAATTCTGTTTTTTGCAACTAGTTTTTCAGGAAGACAAATCACAAATAAATTCACACAAAACTATAGACGCTACTCAACTATTTATCTTGTAAGCAAATCAAACTTCTTTAAAGTGCATCAATACGCAAAATAATTTTAACTTAAAATATTTAAGTTAAATATGGGTATGATTGCGGCTATGAAATCGGCAATGGTTCACTTAGTGGTCCAGAGAAAATTGAAGCTTTAAGAGGGGCACCCCTGAAGCAAATTTTCTAAACATATATTTTATCTGTTATTTAATAAAATGTAAATAATTGTAAATACAAATGAAGGACTTTTTAATAATAATAATAAAATTTATAACTATCATTAACTTCTGATTAATTTAAATTTCAATTTTTTTCTCATAAAACTAAAAAGAAATTATATATTTTTCCTGCTATTGTTATTACTAATAAATAAAACCTCAATTTAAATATATGTGGTCAAAAAAATAAAAAGAAATTTAAGCGAAATGTGTGAAGCTGTTTTACAAGCAAATATTGTAGAACCCGAGATAGAGCCTTATCATACTTTTACTCATAAAGACCATGACGGCGGATGATTTGTGCACTAAAAGTAATTGTTCAATTTTTGGGTAGTATTCATTATATTATTTATCAAATAATACCTAATTATGTTCAAAAACTATGATATTTATGTCAACTTATTAATTTTTGCATGGTTCACCTATAAAGGTAATAGATCATATGTTTTCTATTTTTATTGAAATTTGTATACCTTTTATTACAAGAAAATATGTAAAAATTTAAGAAAGTTATCTTGGTTAATTTTTAATTTTAAGATTTAATTTTTGTTTTGTTTTAGATATTCCTGGGTATGGAGATTTTTGGAATGTGTATATAGTATATTACATTACGAGTGTGGAAAATCACTTTTCACACAAGTGATGTACAATATTTTTCCTACGACCACAAAATAATTTCATCAAAAAATGTAAAACCAGATTATTATAATAATTAAAATGTATTTAAAAAAATAATCAACAATAATCGTATTTATTAAATTTTCATAATTTCTAAACAAATAAAAAAAAAATAAAAAAAAAATAAAAAAAAAAAAAAAAAAAAAATTCTGGCACAGCCAGGATTCGATCGCGGTCGTTGGACGGTCTCAAATTGCAAAGTTGATGCTCTAACCAACTGAGCTAACAGGCCTTACGGTAATTGATCTAATCGCTTATGTGTTTAACCAGAATAAAAAGCAAATATATCTTAGTTATTTTAAAATTATTTTAAAAATAATTGTTAAAGATAAATATCTAGGATCTAATTTACAATAATTTAACAATCATATCGATTTTAGTATTAATATGGACATTACATAGATCAAAATAGAAATTATGTGTTTGACATTTTCTGACAGCTACTGCGGAAAGTAGCATATTCTCACTTGGGTGGAAAGTAAATTCTTATTCATACGCGTGTGATATAGGGCACTTTCCATAGGTCTATATAGTGTGATATGTGTCACTTTCCTAAGTGGTCGTAGGAAAAATATTTATCTGAACTAGGGTGTGTTTCAAAGCCCACCTGTACTGGAGCTGGAGGTTTATTGTACCAGAAATAGGCATTACAACTACTCTAGATTGAAATAGATGGGCAAAGGCCGTAAAGGGATAATAAATATAAGAATATTAGAATTCAAAATGATTTGTCCTTTAAGTCAGTATTAGCGACATTCAACACAATTGTGTTTATAAATTAATTTCTTTTTACTTTTTATAAAAACTATATCCGGTTTTTTTAATAATAAAATCATTGTTATGTGCTGTGCTAAAGTCTATTCAAATTTAATTTTCGCCTGATGTAAACAGAAGCAGGTGGACGCTTAAATTGAGCAGGGCCGTATTTTACTTTTCCGTCTTGCAAAAATGTAAAATAAAAGAGTGTAATTGTGAAATTATTTTTTTATTACGATAAAAACATATTTTGTAAAGTAAAACTATAAAATAAATGCCATACACGGTCTCCCAGACTTTAGTGACATTTCTGGACGAAGATATAGGTGAGCGACATAAACTGCGTTAACCTGCAATACAAATTAATAAATGTATTTGACTTTAAAAGAGATGGTTGCATTATATTTAGTTCATTACATATGTTCACTGTGATACAGAGCATTAAAACAATCATATTATAAAATTATATTGTACAGGGTGTCCAACTAAATGCAAATTCTTTAATAGCTAATATATATCTACTAAAAGCATTAAAAACACTTTAAATATAAGAGGTATTTGGTATTTGAATTTGGTATTTGATTTTAAATTATGCATCTTAAAAAGAAACCTTGTGTATTTTTAATAACTTTTGTTCTTTATTGTTCTTGTTATACTAGTATTTAGATTAGACAATTAGTACCGTGTATTATAGCAATCTTCCTTACTTGACTTAGCACTATTCTGAATCGGAAAAATTAGTTAGACTTGGAAGGCTATCTTCATTAA